GCCCCGGAAGGACGCGGGAGCGTATTCATGGCCCACGGATCTGAGACAGGAGGAAGCTTCCCGGCCTTGGGAGAAGGGGATAGAGCAACTCCCTTCCCCATTCCAATCTGCTTCCTAGTGGGAGGTCGCGGCAGCGGTCCTGGGCGGCCCTCTCGGGGGCAGCGTCGCCGCACCCTCCCGCGGGGCGCGGAGGCAGCGGACAGGGGGGCTGCCTGGAGCTGGCGCGCCGGTCCGGGCAGGGCCCGCCACACCCGCCCGCCCGGCCGCAGCTGCAGCCGAGCCTGGGGATGACCCAGGGGCTACTCGGGGGGAAGAGGGCGCAGCTGCGCGCAACAGCCTGGGCGGCGGCAGGTGTGCAACTTTGCCGGCACTGGAGCGCGCTCCCGCCCAGCTGGGAGGACCGGACCCGCCAGCCGCCGGGCCCTGGCCAGCCCGGGAGCGCCGAGGTCCCTTCCGGAGCGCAGTCTGCCGGCCCCATCGCGCAGGTCCCGCAGTCAGCGCCCGGCCCGTCCCCGACGCACCTGCTGCGCCCTCCTCCCGCTTCACCGAGCTCCCCCTCTCCCCCCGCCTCGGACAACTACACGCTCTCCCGGAGCCTCCCTGTCCTAGGGAGGTGCGGAGGCTGGAGAGGGAGGCGAGAGGAGGGGGGTGGGGACGTGGAAAGACAGTCCCAGCCTTCCCCGCCCGCCACCCTCAACCCCAACTCGGCAGCCGTCACGTGGTGCCTGGAGTGGGAGGTGAGGAGAAGAGGCTAGACTTTTTGGATGCTCGCTTCGTCAGTAGTTCCTTCAGTCTCAGCCGCCAACTCCGGGGACGCAGCGCCCCGCCCGAGAGAGCCGGCGAGAGGAGCAGCGACCGCAGCCCGGAGCCCCGCGCGGGCGATGCGGGCGCCGCTGGCGGCACCTGCGGCTCCTCTCGGCGGCGACGGTCGCCTCGGCGACAGCAGCGCGGGCCACCGAAGCTCCGGCAGCCACCGCCGCTGCGGCGCGGGCAGGACCCGCCGCGCTCGCCGCCTCGGAGGCACCTGCCCGCTCCCGGGCCCCGCGGCTCCGGGAGGATGTGGATCCTCGGCATCGCAGCCACGTTTTGCGGATTGTTCTTGCTTCCAGGTAAGAGGAGAGGCCGGCAGCCCAGGCAGGGGCGCGCACCGCGACCACCGCCGGCCCCGGGCGCCCCGGGCTGCGCAGAGGCTGCCCCGCTGGAGTTCGGCGGCGGCTGGAGCCCAGAGGCACCGGGAGGGAAAGTCTCCGGGTCCTGCGCCGCTGGAGGAGAGAGGAGGCGGATTTGCAGGACTCGAGCTGCAGACGCTCGGTGCTCGGTCTGCACTGTCTGAAGAAGCAGCGGGTAGCCCGGGGGGTCCGAGCTGTGCTGGGGCCTCCGCGAGGGAGAGACACGGATGGCCCCGGCCTCGCCAAGTTGTCAGGCGTCTCTAGCAGCCCGTGGGAGTGGCGCCGCCGACAGGTGAAGGGCGCGCGGGGCAGTCAGTGGCGGGGCGTGCCTGGGGGTGATGGTGTTGCTGCGACCGTTCTGGGCCGGGAGGGGCGAGCTTGGGAACCAGCTCAACTGCGGGGAAGCAGGGGAGTTAGGTCTAGTAGACCGAAAGCTCCTAGTCCCAGCGGAGCAGCCAGGCTGGAGCGGTGAGAGATGCCAAAACGTCTCGCTCCTTCTTTCCAGTGCGCGACCGTCTTCCGATTGCGCTCTGCAGAGCTGGGACCCCGGCCGGGCACCCTAGCCCAGTGGGAGCCCTCGTAGCTGGGAAGAAAGGGCGTCGGATAGCGGCCAGGGGGGGGCCCGCCCGCGCGCACACAGGCCCCTCCCGGTGCCGCTGCGGGAACCGTCCCGGAGGAAGGCCGGGACTTGGGGCTCCAGGGCACTCGGTGTCCGGCACTTCCTTCCGGGTTCCCGGGAGGTTTCCTGGGAGTCTCCGAGCCACAGGAAAGCTGACTTCAAAAATTAGTAAAACTAAAAAGGCGTCTGCGAATGCAGTCACAAAGTAGTGATTAAGTCATTTGTAACCAATTAACAATTAGGCAAATCCTTCAGCGTAGCCTGGAGCTGACGCTCGTCTCTGGGGCTATGCGGGCGCGCGGGTGCACGCCCCCCTTGCAACTTGCGCGTGGGAAGGCCAGGTGTGTTGCTGTTCCGGCTGTTTGTGCGGAGCTGGGGGCAGGTGTAGCGAGCAGACCTCCGCTTCATCCTTCAGGACCCTGGACGCCCTGCCGCCCCCTGCCGGCTTCAGCCACGTCGGCTTTACTCGGAAACCCTGCTGCGGGGAGCACCCGGGCGGCCGGATGGGCAGGGGAGGGTCCTGGTGTCCCGGGGATCTTTGCAGGGGCTGGATCTGAACCCCGTGCGTCTGTCCCACAGGCTTTGCGCTGCAGATCCAGTGCTACCAGTGTGAAGAGTTCCAGCTGAACAACGACTGCTCCTCCCCGGAGTTCATCGTGAACTGCACGGTGAACGTCCAGGACATGTGTCAGAAAGAAGTGATGGAGCAAAGTGCGGGTAAGAGCCCGCAGCTCTCCTCCCCTCCCAGCCTGGGCCGCTGTGGGTGAGGGAGCCACTAAATTACAGGAAAGGGGGCTGACTTTGATTCATGCCTACACGCTGGTTATCACAGATTTACTTTCACAGTGCTGGGAAAATGAAGAGTTCCAAGTTACTTTAATCTCATTAGGCTTAATTACCAGGGCTTCTCCTCCAGGGACTCGGGGCGGGGAAGTGCATTTAATGAGTGGCTCTCCTCTTTTTATTTACTCCCCTCACCTCCCTCTGCTAACAGCTGATCAGGAGGCTAGAGAATATATGGATAACCAGCTCTGCTTGGACAACTAGGCGGTGCCCTGTGCGCAGTGGCAGCTTGAAATATGAAGCTAGTTGAAGTTCCCAGAGGTCAGAGCTTGAGAAATGTGTTATGTCATAGAGCCACACGTATTTCTCTGAGAAACACTACAGGGTCTTCATTCAATTTTAGAACTAGCGCATCGCATTTCAGGCACAGATTGCCAAGATCTTTCGAAGGAATTCGGTTCCCATCCCCAAGGGCTTAGTGGCTGGCTGGCTGGCTGGCTGGCGGATGTGAGGGCCTGGGCGTTATGTGAGGGAAGAAGGGGGTCTTGGGAGAGGAAACCTCCTTGTTCACTCCAGCTGATCAGTCTTCTCACTGAGGCAGACTACCCAGCTCCTCCCAGCATTCTTATCAGAAATCAAAGCCCCTAAAAGTGCAATTGGAACTTTGGGGAGATGGGTGGAACTCTAGCTTCACTTCCAAGGTCAAACTCATAGACAAAATTTTCCATGTTAAGAATATTGAGAAAATGGGAAATAGCATCTGTTGGGGGGAGAGCCCCCAAAAGTCTCAATTCAGGATCAATTCTGAAAAACTGACATGTAGCCTTATTCAAATTCCTAAGAGCTTTAATAACTTACCTACCCGGGAAAGCCACTGCTCCAGTGGTGGCCGGCCTGGACAAGCCCACCCAGGACAGGGCCTCTAGGGGGTTAATAGTAAACCCATGGGGTGGGTAGTCATGTAGACCCCAGAAAGGACAATGGATTCCTCAGTTAACAGATACCATCAGGCAGTTAGCACACTCTATGCATTCACTAGGCTCCTTCCTGGAGCCTGACCTTTATCTCTGGGTGTCTTCCCCGTTTCTGGTAGTCAGCCATGCCTGAGGCTACAGAAAGTTAAGAGTTAAACAGAGTCTAACATTTCCCAGATACCTTTGCTGCTGGAGCCCTACAGCATCCTGTGGTGAATGCTGCTGAGTGAACCAGAGCCCTGCTCCTCTTTGGTTTGCTGAACTGCACTGCCCACAGAGCCTGAAGAAGGGATTGAACCATCAAATGACCTCCTTTTAAAAAAATGAATTTATAGGGGTGACATTGGTTAACAAAATTATACAGATTTCCATAGCGCCTCTTGTGGGGGACCCCAGTCTTATGAGAGTTCAAGCCACTGCTCTGGGAGACATTCCAGTCCAGTGGGAGAAACCCAGTTCCTGATTAGGGTGGAGGACTTAAAAAAAAATTATACAGGTTTCAGGTATACAATTCTACAATACATCATCTCTATATTGCATTGTGTGTTTACCACCCCAAGTCAGATGTCCTTCCATCATCATTTATACCCCCTTTACCTCCTCCTATTCCCCCCACACACCCCCTTCCCTCTGGCAATCATCAGTTAAATGATCTCCTTAACCAACTGGCAAGTTAAAGCAAGGGCTGTAGTTCTTAAGCCAGCGCCTTGGAAAAGTAATGTCTTCTCGGAGAAGGGCCTACAAATGCCTTGTTGCTAACTGCAGTTATTTGGAGAGCAGATGGCTCCTCACTGTGCTATGATTTGGTGGCTGTGTGGTGTTAAAGGCTGTTCTCTATAAGTCCTTACTGGTCTAGGTCTGGGTTCTTGCTGCCAAAATCCCTCTTCTGGGAAATCTGAAGTGTAATTGCTCACAAGAATAACCTGTCCCGAGATAAGCAGTATGCATGGCTTTGTCATACGGGATTCTGGCTATTGAAAAAGTAAAAGAGAACAAAACTCAGTGATGATCCTTTAGTCAAGATTGAAAAAGATGATTTCGACAAGCTGCTGCTTCTCTACATGTTTCGTTCCCGAGCACTGCACCTGAGCAAGTTACTGCCCTTCTGCCAAAGGGGCTGCTGTGATGTGAGTCGGGGTCCCTCTGAACACTCTGTTACTTTAGAACAGCCGTGGGCAAACTACGGCCCGCAGGCTGGATCTGGCCGTTTGAAATGAATAAAACTAAAAAAAAAAAAAAAGACCGTACCCTTTTATGTAATGATGTTTACTTTGAATTTATATTAGTTCACACAAACACTCCATCCATGCTTTTGTTCCGGCCCTCCGGTCCAGTTTAAGAACCCATTGTGGCCCTCGAGTCAAAAAGTTTGCCCACCCCTGCTTTAGAATATGTGCAGCTTTCTTCCGGGCAGTAGGTTAGAGCCAGCAAAAGGGGTGCTGCACTGTGGACACATTAGGAACTTCAGACTCCTCGAGGCCGCTGCTTACCTGAGTATCATGTTTTATAAACCTGGGATCTGGCGGAGATATGGAGAGAGCTATGCCAGAGTGGTGTCCTTTTTCGAAGAGAAATTTCTTCCTCTCTAAAAGTATGCCTAAGATGAATACCACACATCCTTTCAATGTGCTGTGTGTCATCGACTTCATTCTCTTCTCCAAGCCACACTGTAAAAAAGGTCCAGCAGGCATTGTAACACCCACTTATCCACAGACAACTGCAGCACAGACGGTGGCAAGTGCCTGGCCTGAAGTTGCTATTAGTTCGGTCAAGATGAACACCTTATCTCCAAACCAGGTTCCTCTGGCCATATGTCCTAGGCCCAGGGGGGACAGAGATGGAAGTGATAAGGTAGTCTCATTTGTGAAGGCTGAGAAACAAACAGTTGATGGGCATGAAGGAAAAAACAGTTATGAGGGGAAGGATGGGAGTCCTGTGCATGTGGAAACAGGGCGTTTCAGAGCCTGAATTCAATAAAAAGCAGACAAATACATGTTCCTAAATCAGAAGAGCGATGTTCGGGGGGCTGGTAATTCAAAGCACTTCCATTTTCATCTCCAGGTAATTGTTAGAGACCAATCAATTAAGTGACTATTAATTCTCCTCTTGTTGGTAGCGATGGAGAGCCAACCATTGCTGATTGTTAAGTGACCACAGTGCAGTACAATCGTGGAGGGCTGTCTTCTGGGTGTGCTCAGAGCTCCCAGCTCTACCTTCATGCTCCGCGCTCTACTTATAGTATTTCATGCAGTCTGGTGGTCAGGCCTCTTCGGAAGCACTTGCTTTCCGGGGCCACAACCCACCAGCATTCAATTCTGCAGGGCCAACTTCTCCAATCTGGAGAAAATAATGCCTGCTGAATGATACTATTAGGAATCAAAGTCAGAATGTTTGTTTGCTTGATCAGTAACATATATTGTGCTGTTAGAGCTGAAAGGGCCCCCTGTCTCACAGTAAAGGGTGCACGGAGGAATCTTCTGGGACTTTTATTCAAATCCACATGCCTGGGCCCTCCCCTACCCCTCCTGCCTGCCCCCCATCCCCCACAAGAAGCCAGTTCCCTAAGTCTGTGGTATAGCTGGCCATGGGTCTTCCATAAACTCCCCAAGTGACCCTGAGGTGCCCTAAGTTGTGCACTGCTGATCTGGAGCATACTTTAGTGTTACAGGGGAGGAAAGCAAGGGCCAGAAAAGTTAGGTGTTCGATCCAAGTCCCCCAGCCAACTGTTATGAAAAGGTACCTGCTTCCTCAGCCCACACCTTATATAGTAAAATATGCTGCCAGGTTTGCCTGCAAAGTTCAAGGAGGCAAAGTGCTGAAGACTCAGACAGCTCTCATGTCTGCCCGATTCACCTGAACAGGCATAGCGAACAAGCTGAGTGGACAGGCCACAAAGTGGATATTGAAAGAATAGGAGGACCCAGCAAAGGCTTTTCAGCTTGAGTGTCATGTGGACTGGCATTTTTCGCATGTACCTCAGAAAAAGCAGAGTTTTAAATGGACTACGAGATTTTAATGAACCAAGCAAGTTTGACATTAAACAGTAATGAAAGACATACTCTTTCCAAAAAATACCAGCAATGCAATATGCCCAGGCATTCAGTTAGTCCTTTCTGGATTAAGTCTGCAAACTCAGCTCTTTGAGTTTTGAGGCAGGTACATTTAGTTTTCAGTTGGGAAATACATTTAAAATTAACCTTTACCTATTCCCCAGGGTGCCGTTCCTATTAGGTGCTGAGACTTATTTTCCACCACTCTTTATCCCCTTGGCCATTTCCGGAGCAATAATGCCCAGCTGTGGGGAAGGGACCTTTGGTGCTGCCTCTTCCATGGTCCTTACTCATTGATATTTAAATGTTTGCATAAGGAATGCCTTGCTCTCACTAGCTCTCTGTAATGAGTTAGCAACTACTTACCATCACCCTTGAGAGTGACATTTCTTTTGCTCTTGCTTTTTACTGCACTCAGAAAAGTATTTCACATATTGATTTTCATTTCAGAATAGGAGCTCCCCACCCCATTTGAATTGTTACAACCAGGGTGTAAAGAATGTGAATTTGCATTTGTTTGACAGTGCAATCTTGTAATTAGAGTTTTTCCTCTTGACTAGATACAGTGAAGGGGGCATAATTTAATTTTTATAGACTAGCCAATTTCTGCCCTTAGTAAAATATAGCTCTGTCAGTGAGCAAAATGTTACAGGTTCTCCAAAACCTTATTTAAAAGTTAAATGCAGTATATTGAGAGAAAGTTCATGGTCTGAATCAGTAACCTAATCGATCTCTTCACCCATCCTCTGCAACATGCATTAATCTATTTGTCTGTTTTGCAATACAAGAGTTACTGATTTATATGCCATGTTGCATCTGCATTATGGCTGTATAAGCAATGGCGATTTTCCTTTTGGATTACTTAGTTGCTCATTCAGTTGGGTAGCGAGAGCTCCATGCCTTGGATAGG